AAAGTCACAGAATACAGAAAGGACCACAGATTCAGTTTTACATTTCATGGATTTGACAAATATGCTATGACATACATATATCAATATGTGATCAGAACATGCATTTAGAATCCCCTGTGTTCTACCTATTCATTCCTCCCTCAGAGTTAGACCCGGGCAACCACTGATATCTTTTGTAGACCCATAGCTTTTCACTTACAGGATCTCATGCAGTTGCTATCCTTCACTTAATAGTATGTGTTTGGGACCTCCACCCCTTTTGTTATGTTATGGCTTGATGGTGCATTTTAGTATTAAATAATATTCCATTGTTTGTCCATGCCACTATATATTTTTCTTTCCTCCTCATAATTAACATATTGATCATTTCTAATTTTTGGTGATTGAATAAAGCTATTGTAAACATCAGTACAGCAAAACAAAGAAAAGGATGATGAACCTCTATCATGCTTGTGTTATGACTCACACACAGCAGGGGGCGCAAGGCTATTGGTTCTGTCAAGCAGACATGAGAGGTGTATCCAAGCATTTACACGTATCCTGTCTTTCCTCTAAGTTAAAATTTTGAGTAGTCACTTGTTATTTTAATGTAAAAAAAAATTTCTCAAATTGATGTATTTTTCAGCCATGTCAATTTTTCCCAGGTAGCAGGGATAAAGGGAATGTTCTTGGCTAACAAGAAGATTGACAACCAAGTGAAGACTTTCATCACTTACAACAAAGGTAGAGACTGGCGTTTGCTGCAGGCTCCAGATGCAGATCTAAGGGGGGACCCTGTGCACTGTTTACTGGTAAGTCCTGCATGGTGGAGCAACTTGCCCCACACGGTGAAGGTCTGGAGTTGGTGTCTAACAAGATGCTAAAGATAGTTTTGGGACATCTGTTCAGCTGATGAAAAAGCTGGGCAGAATCCGAAGAAAGGAATGGTTAGGTCTATCATTTGTTATGATCAAAGAGAGGGGAACATGTCTCAGACCCTTGCTCCACAAAAGATTTCCTGTTTCTAGCCTGATAGTTTCTGTGGGTTTTGTTTGTTTGTTTGTTTGTTTTGGTGTTTTGGGTGGTGTTGGTGTTGGGATTTTCTGTTTTGTTTTTGTGCTAAATTGTTTCTCTACCACTGAGCTGTATCCTAACCCCTCCCTCTTAGCTTCAGACAAGTAACTCCAGTTTGAGGGAAATACAGTGCTTTTCTTCTCCGGTGAGGCTGTTTCCTGAGCTTTCTTATAAGTCAATATAATCAGCAGTTATGGAACTACTGTTACATACATTTATCTGTAGAATTTGTGAAGTGAATACAGACTATCTGACTGTATCTTTATGCAGACACATTTCATCTATTTTTGAAGGAAGTTTATGATTCAACAAAGGGGTAAGAATGATTCATTTATGTACCCGTTTGATTCCTCTATATATTCTGTTCAGTTTACCTGCTTTAGTGTATAATGCCTGGACTGGCAAATAGTCTGTGACATGTAGGCAAAATGTAGCCTAGCCCTTGTTTGCCTCGTAATGCTTTATGGGAACTCAGTCACACTTACACGGTTATTTCTTATCCACAGCTGTTTTCACTTTACAAAGGGAGAATCAGTAGCCATGTATATTCAAAGCAAACCTAAGATATTTATTTTATTACCCTTGGAAGGAAAGTTTGCATATCCACATCCCTGCTTTACTTCATGGCTTTCTTTCAGAGTCCTTTCTTTATCACATATGTCAGCAGGGAATTATTTATATATTAAATGATAGAATGGTATCCAAAGATGGAGAATTCTATCAAAGCATTTTCAGCTTACTTGACTGAGACTATATTTATAAACAAAACATTTCTTATTTTCATGATATTGGCTAAGATGATCATGCCATTCTCAGCACACCAATGGATACCTAGTGAATATGTTCTGTAAAACAGCTCAGAGGTTATGTTTAAGGTCGTATAAAGGAGGTATCAGTGTGGGGAAGATGGCTTACTTCTATAGTAAGGCCTTGAGATGTGCATATTTGTGTATGCATATCTATCTAAATCTATCTCCTCTGTATGTGCATTTGCTGTTGACCACACTCTTCATAACTCTGGCATTGATGTCGTTTGCACTCTGTTTCATTTTATCCCACAATTCTGGGGCAGTCACTTCTCAGGTTCATCTCACATAGCAGTAGGTGGATCAACATCTCTTTCAAAAGGCTGCCAGCAGCTATAGCTTGACCTTATTAGTTGTAGAAGACATTTGAATTGTTAGTGCACATCAGGAAAGCAGTCTTAAATTTCAACTCCCACTCAGGCTCCTTTGTTATTACTGACAGCTTACAAGGAGAAAAATATCCATTTGTAATAGAGAATTCACAGATCTGGTGATAGACTAAGTAAATGTTAACATATTTATTGAGTATTTATATCAGTCAAGGTGTGGGTCAGTGCCATTAAAATACATCAGCTCCTACACAACTATTCTAGGTTATGGACCTATGATGTTCAAAGGTAGTAACAGCTTAATAACTTCTTCCACACTTACAACATAGCTTGAAGATCAATGCCTATGAGAAGGGCTATTAACCATTTCACCTAAACAGGCTTGTGTCTCCTTTGTGGCATCATAAAGGGTCTATGGAAAGTGTATCTTCTTAGCAAGACACCAATCAAGGCACCCTTTCTCCCACCCCAACCAAGAGTTGTGAAGCTGTATTATTACACCTTCAAAATGGATATCCAGTGTTACCCCCTTCCCCAACACTATAGGATTATGCTAATCCAAGCATAATATTACTTGGTGCTTAGTGATAGACAGCTATTCACCATACTCTCCCCTCATTTCTACCTGACAACCCATCATTCACGCAGTAGCCCATTTAAAAAATCAATTCTTTTGAGGTAAAGGCACCTAAAACTCATCAGTGATTTTGGACAAATGTGTGTTCCATGTAATGTCCATCACCTTCAAAATTTTATTTGTGTTATTCTGAAGTTAGAAGCACACTTCTGGCATTAGAGGACTATGGCCTCTCTTTCATTTTGTCATAAATGGATTTCTCATTTATCCATTTTTATCAAATGGTGTCATATGAAAGTTTAAATGTGCATCACTTACTTAAGCTTTCTAATGACACCTCTAGTTCAAGTACAATAAATCAAACACTTTATCAAAGCCTATATGGTCCCCTGTGATCTGGCATCTGTCTGCTCCTTCTGCTTAGAACCTACTCTTTCCTTCCATTCTTCTTCACCCTCAAGCCATTATGGAAAGGAAAGAGTTCACTTCTTTTCACGTTATGAACTTACTGTGTTCATGTATGTCTTACAGTGGGATTTCCTATTATTTCTTTTAAAGCATCCCACTTTCAAAACAGGCCTTTTCTTTCTATTCAGATCCTTGCTTCTTAGGTGTGTTTCATGAGTATCCATTGATGTCATATCTGTTTATTTTCTCCTTTTTCTTTCTTTCTTTCCTTTTTTCTTTCTTTCTTTCTTCCTTTCTTTCTTTTTGTTTGATGAATCAGTAAATTTATTGGGATTAAGTAAGTACAGGAGCATGAGTATGGAATTATTCATAGTCTAAGAACATGTTCTTTCAAAGGCAGGAACATCACTGAAAAGCCCACCCAGCCTGGGTACCAGCCCACCAATGCTACACCCTTGAGGCTCCCTTCCCAACTTGAAGGCAGCTATACTGAAAGGACTCCTCTCCCCCAGCAATGGTTCACTTCTTAGATAACCTTGGAGGGGGCCTTTGTGGATCTTGGAACTTTATAATCATCCTGAGTCTTGTAAATTTGTGAACTTCCTGAACTTTGTATGTTTGCTAGCTATCTGAGGCTTATAAGCCACTCTTCCCTTTCCAACAGGAAATAACTACAGCAATCATCACTTAGTATCTACAGCTTGGCTATTCATAAGTCTCTATGGTAAACACTGCTCATTGCAAAGACAATTTCTTCCCTGGCCAAGGCTGGAAAAAAGAGTAATGTATGGGCATAGGGAGAGATGTCTAGAAAGAAATGGGACTGTCACATTATATCTGTTTAACAAAAATAAACAGATAATATAAAGGCTTATGACCTCCCAAACTTTTTCCTGGATTTCAACCTAAAGAAAAACATGCCTATGAAAGTATAAGAAACTTATAGAACACCAAATAGACTTGGCCACAAAAAAATTCCCTCACTACATAATAATCAAAACACAAACATACAGAATAAAAAAAGAATAATAAGAGCAGCAAAGGAAAAAAAGTCAAATAAACATATAAAGGCAGATTTTTCAGAATTATTTTCTCCCTATTCTTTATAATTTTTCTATGTAAAATCAGCACATTTGGATGCTGACTTTCTTTCCGATCATCCTCATTAAACATATACTCCAAGAAGACTGTGACCATCTTTATGACAATCCAAAAATTTGCGTTGAGTCCTATAAATTTTCTTCATGAAAGATTCAACAGACATGTTATATCTGTGTGTTTTGTGGTAGATGGAGTCACTCCATTGAAAGGTGTTTGAATTTTAGATTTGATTGTAGCAAAACCTGTGCATTTTCTGTCAGTTATACTGAAGGGTTTGCTGGAATATCCTCCTTTTGAACTCATTAATAGAATCAAGAGATGCATTGGAATTAAGGACACATGAATGATTGGGATGTAGACGGACAGATGACGGGATGCAAGAATCTTCATACCTTCCTCCTCTATTAATCCTATTGCTCAAAGTAGTTCAACAAAAGCTTTAAAAACCAGGAAATAGTAAAGAGGGAAAACCGACAAAGGCACTAGGGAAGAGAGGCCAAAATCACTTTACAAAATCATGCTGCCAAAGGCACAAAATAGGAGAGAAAAATCTTTGAACTACAGGACACCTAGACTGAAAAAAAAATCAAGAAAGGAATTGTCTAAGTCTTGGGAAGCAGTGACAGAGAGGAGGTAAAAAGTGATTTTAGATTGGGAGTACTTGGAAAGTGATGGTGTCACTGAAAGCAGAGACCAGTGATTAGAAAAGAGATTTTCCAGCAGGCCTGTTACAAACGTGGAACAAGTCCCGAATTACAGTCCCAAATGGAATGTCCCTGGTAAGATGTATTCTATAGAATAAGACATCCAGAGTAATTTGTGGCTGTATTTTTAGGACTTTCAGACTGATTACCTGGAGGCACAGCTGGGATTTCTTTCTTCTGAAGACTGCATTGTACAATTAGATAGGGTATTGCAGGTCATGGTCCACCTTTCCCCAAAGCCTCAGAATCAGGCTTCCAAGAGGCAATATGTGAGCACACCTGAGCCAGTGGCAAATACTTGGGCCTCTGAGGAAAAGCACAGGGTTTTATGGAGAGAGACCTTGACTTCTTTGTAGATTCATTACACTTAAAAAAAACTGGAGCTGAGTAGGGAGCATATGTGACATTCTGTAGACTCTAAGACTCTAAATATTTTGCTGAACTGAAGTGGTACTGGATGCCACATAGGCAAACAACTCATCTGAGAGCATTCCTCTTCTTTGTGACCGAATCTTTACTGAATGCAGTGTGGATTATTTGCCATAATTTGGAATAAGAGATGTAAAAAAAATCATGTATGCTTGAGGAAGTATTGGACAGAGCTATTTGGGGATTTAGTGGTATCTTGTTCTCCTAAAAGCTCTGACATGTAGTATACCTTTCATATTAGTAGCTATGGGGATGAGTTGACATGAGTATAATATGTAAAGACCTTTATTACAGAGGATGGAGAGAAAAGAGTAGACTTCAGGACTAGTTCTATATAAAATCATTCCTAATAGTTCCTTAAGTTCCTATACTTATTGGGGGAGTGTCTTTTAGTGCCAGGTGATTCCCCACTGTACTTGATAAAACACAGAACATAAGTAATAAACCACTGAAAAACACTATGCTAAGTATGGTAAACAACAACCAAAAGACAAATATGGTGTGTGACTTAACTATGAGGTATAAGTAGTGGTGCTCTCAGTCTCAAAGAGCAAAATGTCTCATAACAGAGGGTGCGGAGTTCTATAAAGGGGAAGACGGTAGTCAAAGGATGCCTAAACAGGGGCCACAACTGAGCCTGTCTCAGACAGCCAACCAATAAAAACAAAAAAGAAATAAACAAAAAGATGGGAGGGCACAGTAGTTTAGCTAGACAGGAGGACTGAATGATAAGTAAATAAGATGAAGAAACTATGTTTTGATTTAGTCCCACTGCAGGGTATTTATGGGATACGTATGCTGGTGAAAATAGTTGTGATGGGTAAAAGAAAATACCAGTCATCAATCTCATTATCAGGGCTGGTATTTTCTTTTACCCAACAAAACTATTTTCACCAGCATATGTTTCCCATAAATATCCTGCAGTGGGACTAAATGCCTGCTCGCCTTCACCCAGCAGCTGGTAGACGTGGAAGAAGATAACCACAGCCAAACACTGAACCAAACGGGAATCCAGTTGCAGAGAAGGAGGAGTGATGAGCAAAGGGGTCAAGACCAGGCTGCTGAAACCCTCAGAAACAGCTGACCTGAACAAGGGGGAGCTCTTGGTCTCCAGACTGATAGCTGGGAAACCAGCATGGGACTGATTCAGACCCCATGAATGTGGGTGTCAGCGAGGAGACCTCAGAAATCTATGGGGCCTTTTATAGTAGATCAGTACTTATCCCTAGCATAAGAATAGACTTTGGGAGCCCATTCCATATAGTAGGATACTCCCTGAGCCTAGAAACAAGGTGGTGGGCCTAGGCCCTATCCCAAAGGATATGACAGACTCTGAAGACCCCCTATGGAAGGCCTCACTCTCCCTGGGGAGCAGAAAGGGTATGGGATAGGTAGGGTGTTAGTTGGGGGTGGGCAGAGGAGGACGGGAGGCAGAGGGAACTGGGATGGACATGTAAAATAATCTTGTTTCTAATTCAAATAGAAAATAAAAATAATTTAGTAAACCAAGAAGAAGAAGAAGAAGAAGAAGAAGAAGAAGAAGAAGAAGAAGAAGAAGAAGAAGAAGAAGAAGAAGAAGAAGAAAATACCAGGGTAGGCAGAATAGTGACTTGATCTGGAGGCTCACTAATGGCCTCTGGGGTTTGTGAACTCCCTAATATTAAATGAAACTCTGCACATCCAGTATGATAATGTTAGAGACTAGGAAACTAAAACCTCAGAGACACTACGGAGAATCATAATTTGTCATGGCCGTTGAATCGATTGAAGACGTAAAGGATAGTTTCTGACTGTGGATGCTGGTGACCCCATCTTCTGTAAGCCAGCTGCCAGAACATGGTTGGTGTCCGTGTACTTTCTCATGTTTGTTTGTATGGAAAGAAAGGAGAAGATAGCAGGAAGTACCCTTGAAACATCCGGTTTTTTGTCGTGTTGGAGAAGACCCTGGAAAGATGACTGTGTAATGTAGATCCTCCACACCTGTTTGCCAGTGAGCAAAATAAAGACAGGAAGGCAAGAAGAAAGGATAAAGAAACACTGAAATCTCTTTCCTGGCCAAAATGTACATGAGAATTCAGAAGGCTTTTTCTGTGTCATCCATGAACTTGGGACAGTGCGATGGTCCTTTCAATAAACTTCCATGTTAGTTTGACATGGAATAACTTTTAATACAGTAGGCCAGAAACAAAATGTTAGGTAAAATACAGTCACTCACTCTTGGTTTTCTTGAGACATCGGTGTCAGTCATATAAACTGTTAGATAAATAAAATGAAAGAAAGAGCAAAAGAATGGCATAGAAGATTCTCCAAGTACCAGCTGGGGGCAATCCAGTACTATGAATGTGGAGATGAGGACAAGTCACAGAGATCACTCCTAAACCTCGTTGTAGCCTTTTCTTCTCAAATTAATATTCTGGCCCTCTGAAAGCCAGAGCCAGAGAGCAGTTTTGAGATAGTTGACAGAAATTCCTTCTTCTCTTTGTTATCACACATTTCCATACCAAATAATCACTGGTTCAGATACCAGCTGAGCTTCACAGTCTTCCAAATGTTGCAAGCAGCTGGCTCCAGATTGACCCAGATACTTCTCTGTATATGAGAGTAGTGCTCTGGTAAGTGACTAAAATGGCCCTCCATGAAAGCTCTGTGTTTAGGGATAACGCCCAGGATGTATGGCACTCCTTGGAGTACTATAAAGGTGATGTCATCCTTACTCAGATTGATTTAGCTCATGCTCTTCTCTTGTTGTGGGTAAAAGAATAACATCTTCCATGTAACAACAACAAAAAGCATCCTTGCTGTTTGTTATAATCCTTTCTTATCCTTTTAAAATTATATTCAAGTTTGCACAGAAGATGTAATGTATAACTTGACTTGTTTTCATTTCTAGATTGTTGGAGCAAGAGAAAATTGTACTGTACCTGAAATAGATTATTCAGGATTAGTCATAGTAAAATAAATGTTGGCAGATAAGACAAAGGGAGTTCTATAAGCTACAGGTGACGGGAAACCTCCCATGGTATTATGGCTCCATGTGTCCTGTCTTAGCATGCTCTAGGTGGCCTACAGCATTATCCTTGGTTCCTGTCCTATTCCTGATGGGCCTAAAGAAGCCAGGTGTTTGGTACTCTCTCTTTCAGAGCTGTCTTTTCTTCTTCAGAAGGCTATGAACATGAAACTTTCCTTGAAAGCATTACCTAAAAATTTCATACAAAACCAGTAATGCATTACTCCTTAAGGGCTTTACTTTCTATGTTGTTAGAATTCTGTTACCCTATTGTGATCTGTGATTTCATTTTGTGCTGTTTGGCTGCTTTTATTCCTGAGTTTCGTTTTTACTTTGTCATTTACTCCATCCTCTATACATTTAATCGTTGCATTCCTGGAGTTCTCTGAATATTTACTGGCTGAGACTTACAGAGCAGAATAAAAGTAATAACTGAGATACACTGGTAATTCCCAAAACTCAATTCAATAAGATTAGGAAGGAATCTTCCTGAGAAATGAAATGGAATGGGGGTGCAAACACAAACTTGTAGTTTTGACAGTTCAGCATATGAAATACTTCAAACAAAATTCATGTAGGAAACAGTATACATTCTTGGGAGACCACTGATATCTTAATCATAGAAATTGATCAAGGCTTCCAAGCACAGATAAAAAACATTTCTAAAATTTTCATTTAAAATTATGTTACTGATGCATTTTGTCCATAAGAATGACTTTTGTAATGAACAAAATGTACAATTAATAAGCATTAATTAAAAAAATAATGCCATGATGACACGGTGTCAATTGTTGGCAGACATTAGTACAGTTTCACATCTTATACAGAATTTTTATGCTGAGACCACGTTCTGGGTATTAATGGTTGAGCGCCACCTGATTTCTTCCAACTCCTCCTAGATGGAATTGACCACATTTCCTAGCTTCATGTCCCACTTTTCCTTTAGGCTTTCCTGGCTACACACTGTGATGTGCAATCCATCCCCTGCTCTTTCTTTGTGATTAGTATTACTCATGTTCCAAATTTCCTCTCTATTACCTTGTTCATATCACCCGAATCCATAACTTACCCATCCTCCCTCCAGTTGTACTTTCTCTTGGGAGCCAGTCTTAATTCCCAACTGGCCCTTGTCTTTTCACCATCTAGAGTTTTATAAAGTTTTGTTTCTGTCTATATTAGGAGCACTAAAATACTTTCTTTACCACCAACCAAGTGGAAATATCTCATGTCCTTTTAAAAATATCTACAGCAGCAGAAATCAAATTTTTATCCATAAGTGCTCATGACTTCTACCTAGTATTTACAGTTGTTAAAATGTTTTTCACACTAAATACAATTTGGGTAAATTAGGACTGTAATGGAGGTGTTTTCTCTTCACCCACCTAAAAGCTCTCATACACGCTGCTCACACTAGACATTTGTGAACGTAATAATGATGGGTTGGTGGATGGATGAGCACAACAGGTGGAAGACGATATTCATAGATGGATGACAGATTGCATAAGTAGGTGGATAGATAGACAGATTAGATGTTTTGAATATAGGCATTTTAGTTTATTTTGTTTTGTGTTTGCTTTAAAAATACTAAGATAGACTCTCTCTAGGCATCCTTGGAACTTAGTTTGTAGACCAAGTTGATCTTGAATCTGTAGCAATGTGCTTGGCTATAGAATCTGGGCTTTAACTGGCCATTTTGATTATGTGTATATGACATTCACTTCTCTTCTTCCTAGCCTTACTGTTCACTACACCTTCATCTCAAGGTCTCTGAGAATCCCTACACATCTGGGATCATTGCCAGCAGAGACACAGCCCCAAGTATTATAGTTGCCTCAGGTAAGAATCATGTGTGCTTTCCTTGCTATTGTACGTGTGTTTATTTTAAGAAACTAGACATCTGTGGTTGGAATTTAATGAGCAAGCTAAAAATATTTTTGAAAGCCACTGAAACCATTGACCCTGAAGAAAGTCTACTGAAAATCCCTGCTTAGACAGAAAGTTTGTAGTTGAAATCCATCTCAGACTGTACAGACTACTGATGTGTTTCATTCCTGGCTTTTTCAGAATTTTCCTCCCACTAATGGCCATGTGCTCTTTCTAGGCAACATAGGGTCTGAATTGTCAGACAGCGACATCAGCATGTTTGTCTCTTCAGATGCAGGGAACACTTGGAGGCAGGTAAGAAAATACCCTTGGTCTGGGATGTTCTGCTCAAGTTCTAAGCATAGTTCAACTTATTTCAAGTCTGGAAACCTAAAGACAGCTTTGCACATAAATCTTAACATGAATAACATGTTCTTGGGATGTTCTGCTCAAGTTCTAAGACATAGTTCAACTTATTTCAAGTCTAGAAACCTAAAGACAGCTTTGCACATAAATCTTAACATGAATAACATGTTCCCTTTTTTCTTTTAAGGAAAATTTGAAATGAACCAAGACAAGTTTATGCAGGGTGCTGTTCTTATCCTTTGATAGTCCTATTTCTTATCAAGGGTCCATATATAAATTCTTCTGAAATCAAGTTGGAAAGGATTCTTATGTAAAAGAAAATGGAAAACCCTGAGTTTATCATATAAGAAACCTGGATCCTTTAGGGTGGACTGAACATGTAAAGATTAGTTGTCTTTATAAATTCTCCTTTCCTCAAAGAAAAACAAAACCAGCCATTACCAGGTGGTAACTGAGATGTTAAATCACATGTGTAAATGACAGAGTAATAACTATCAGACTGCATATGGTCAATAAATATAAATGGAATCACTTCAAACCAATATACTTAACTGCTTCCTACCTTTCTTCTGATTGAAAATTAGATTCTGACAGCTTATAAAACAGACATTTAATGAGGTTTAGCTATCATAACAGGTATGAGCCTAATGGATGAAAGCTACACCTCAATAAATATGTTTTAACTAGCCTCCGGTGCTTAATTATCATACGATAGCTAGCACTGTAAATTGAAATCTAATGCACAGGTAATCACACTTAACAATGAGCTCACTTTGCTTGTAATTTCATGAGAGCAGAAAGAAGGACATGATAGTCCAGTGCTCTTTCTTAGCTTTAAGCCCTCAATGGTACTTCCATATTTTGACAAAAGAAGACAGAGAAGAAATTTTGGGGATCTGAAGGAAGACATATAATTCTAAGGAAATTTGTGGGGAACAATGTCAGTATTCCAATTCTTTTTTT